CTACAGACCATTTTAGCCAAAGCATTCTCCACATTTTACTGAAAGTAGACTCATTCAGGAAATCAGACAGACAATATCAAGTAAGACGTCAAAACCAATATTGCAGGGCTTTAGACATAACTTCTAAGCACTGTATAAGAAAATTAGTAAGGACAGTAGATGGATGCTTAGATATAGGCTTAGTCCATTCCCCTAAGTTTGACAAATCGACATCCCAGCTCTGACAGGTTATATGGCTGGACCTGTTTGTTAATAGGATCCTTAATCATTCAATTTTCAAAAGAAGTGTTCAGTGTTTTATTAACCACTTGCGCTCCAGAGGATTTACCCCGCTTCTTGGACAGGCCATTTTTTTGCATTACAGCGCTGCATTACTTTAACTGACAATTGCGCGGTTATGCAACACTACACCCAAATTAAATTTATGTCCTTTTTTCCCACAAATTGAGCTTTCTTTTTGTGATATTTGATCACCTGTGCATTTTTATTTCTTGTGCTATAAAAAAAAAGACCGACAATTTTGAGAAAAAAAACTATATTTTTACTTTTTGCTATTAAAAATGTCCACTAAAAAAAATTTAAATCAAATTTCATCATAAATTTAGGCCAAAATGCATTCTGCTACATGTCTTTTCTAAAAAAAAATCCCAATACGTGTAAATTAATTTGTTTACGTGAAAGTTATAGCTTTTACAAATGGCAAATGGCTATATATATATATATATATATATATATATATATATATACAGTGGGGATCGAAAGTTTGGGCATCCCAGCTAAAAATTTGTATTAATGTGCATAAAGAAGCCAAGGAAAGATGGAAAAATCTCCAAAAGGCATCAAATTACAGATTAAACATTCTTAATATGTCAACAAAAGTTAGATTTTATTTCCATCATTTACACTTTCAAAATAACAGAAAACAAAAAAAATGGCGTCTTCAAAAGTTTGCGCACCCTGCAGAGTTAATATCTTGTACTGCCCCCTTTGGCAAGTATCACAGCTTGTAAACGCTTTTTGTAGCCAGCCAAGAGTCTTTCAATTCTTGTTTGAGGTATCTTTGCCCATTCTTCCTTCCAAAAGTCTTCCAGTTCTTTGAGATTTCTGGGCTGTCTGTCACGCACTGCTCTTTTAAGGTCTATCCATAGATTTTCAATTATGTTGAGGTCAGGAGATTGTGAAGGCCATGGCAAAACCTTCAGTTTACGCCTCTTGATGTAATCCCCCGTGGATTTCGAGGTGTGTTTAGGATCATTATCCATTTGTAGAAGCCATCCTCTCTTTAACTTCAGCTTTTTCACAGATGACATCAAGTTACCATCAAAAATTTGCGGAAATTTTATTGAATCCATTTTTCCTTCTACTCATGAGATGTTCCCTGTGCCACTGGCTGCAACACAACCCCAAAGCATGATTGATCCAACCCCATGCTTAACAGTTGGACAGAGTTTCTTTTCATTAAATTCTGTGCCCCTTCTTCTCCAAACGTACCTTTGCTTATTCCGGCCAAAAAGTTCAATTTTAACCTCATCGGTCCACAGAACTTGTTTCCAAAATGCATCAGGCTTGTCTATATGTTCATTTGCAAAGTTCAAACAATGATTTTTGTGGTGAGGACGTAGAAGAGGTTTTCTTCTGATGACTCTTCCATGAAGACCATATTTGTACAAGTATCTCTTTATAGTGGAATAGTGTACCACAACTCCAGTGTCTGCCAGATCTTTCTGGAGGGATCGTGCAGTGAAACGTGGGTTTTGAATTGTTTTTCTCACAATCCTGCGAGCTGTTCTGTCTGATATTTTTCTTGGTCTTCCAGATCTTGCTTTAACTTCCACTGTTCCTGATGACTGCCATTTCTTAATTACATTCCGAACAGAGGATATTGACATCTGAATACGCTTTGCTATCTTCTTATAGCCTTCTCCAGCTTTGTGAGCGTCAACTATTTTCAGTTTCAGTTTTCTAGACAACTGCTTAGAAGAACCCATGGTGCTGATTGTTGGGGCAAGGTCAGATGAGCCTGGGCATTTAAAACCTTTTGAGATTGACATCACCTGGTCTTCCCAGACGATGATTGAGAACAATCCATGACACTGGCAGGTCTCAGCTTGGCAAAGGCGGGCAGTGCATGCTATAAATTCTGCAGGGTGCCCAAACTTTTGCAGACGCCATTTTTTTGTTTTCTGTTATTTTGAAAGTGTAATTGATGGAAATAAAATCTAACTTTTGTTGACATATTAAGAATGTCTAATCTGTAATTTGATGCCTTTTGGAGATTTTTCCATCTTTCCTTGGCTTCTTTATGCACATTAATACAAATTTTTAGCTGGAGTGCCCAAACTTTCGATCCCCACTGTGTGTGTGTGTATATATATATATATATATATATATATATATATATATAAAAAATGGAATTTAAATTTTTTTCTTTTTACTAGTAATGGCGGTGATTAGCGACTTATAGCGGGACTGCAGCGGGCATTCTGACACTAGGGGGAACTGACTTGATGTCACTGACATCCCCAATGACACCAATACAGTGTACAGTCCCAAAAAAAAGCACTGACACTGTACTAATGGCACTGGGCAGGAAGGGGTAACATGAAAGGCGATCAAAGGAAAAACTGTGTGCTGGGTGGGTTTTACTATGGGGCTATGTGTTTGTGCTTCACTGTAAGCATACTGAACAGCCAGGCAAGGCAGTGTGCACAAGCTGACAGGGAGGGGAATTGTTTTGTTTACAAACAGTTCTCCTCCCCGTCAGAGATCCTAAGCAACCATCAGGCGCCGGCGAGTAATCACCAGCCGAGATCCGGTGATTGACTTCCGCGACTGCGAATGGCGGCGCGGGTAGGGAGCATGCATGCCTCGCGTGCTTCCCTTACCTGGAAATAAAAAATCACATATATATGTGATTTTGTGCACCCGTGCTGCCCTCTGGTTAACGTGGAATATAGTTGGATCCACAGTACATGGTCCACTTTTATTAAAAGCATTCTCAAACAAATATTGGTGGCATGAGTAACTTATGAGGATTTTTCTAGTCTCTGTACAAAATAGATTCAACAGATACTGGTGAATTAGGAGTTAAGGGTGGCAGCTAACAGTACCGATAATGTAGTAGCTCCCAATGCTCAGACACATAAAAGTGGAGTTTTTGGATTTACCACAGTCTTAGACCTGAACATAATAATACAAGGGTCCTAAAAGCACCACAAGCAGAGCTGAGTGTGGACCCAGTCCCCATCAGAGATCTTCAACTTGCTAGGGTGCACAAGACTGAAGCGAATGTCTTTGTCCCGAAGTCACCTGCGAACATCCGTTAAGGATTTGCGGCAGCATTGGACCTCCTGGGAGTAGTCTGGGAAGAACTTACGCTTTGCATTCTCATAGAGCAGGTCAGGCTGGCACAAGTCAGTGCCAGGATTTTGTTGCGGTCACTATAATTGAGGAAGCAACACTGCCCATGATTGTGTTCACGGACACTGCCCATGATCTCTCAAGCAAGAATTTTTTTTTTCATGTGGCCCTGAAGAACCCCAGTGGAGGAGATGTTGGTAGGACCCTGTGGGCCCATTTCACAGTGAAGGTAGGCGGCATATTGATTAGGCCAAACAAGGATTTCATTAGGTGTTTGGAGAATTCAACCTGTTTTGCCCCTTTGGCCCACTCGGGAAGGCCCAGGATGCGAATATTGTTTCTCCTGAGTCGATTTTCTGTATCTATGGCTTTTTCCTGGAGTGCCTTGACTTGCATCTATAGGGCCCTCAGCTCCCGGGAGTCGGAATGGACTTTGTCTTCCAACGCAGCAACCCAATCCTCCACCTCGGAGACACAGAGCCAGAATGTCAAGGTAGTGATAAATAAGGCTGATGTCTGTTGCTAGGAAGTCTATCTTGGCTGGCAGCGTTTCCTTGCATGTGGTGATTGCTGCCAGGATGTCGGCACTGGATGGAGAGGTCTCATCCGCAGCTGGGTGATGTCTGGGTGCTGGCTGACAAGATGGCTAGATGTCTGGGTGCTGGCTGACAAGGAGAAGACCTCGTGGCCAAGATGCCCACCGATGAGGAAGAAGAGCGGGATGTAGTCGGCCTAGTGCGGGTGGAAAACAGTTTGCCGGGAGCCATCGGGGGACCAAGGGGTGCAGGAGAGGCTCGTAGGATTAAAGACACAGGTTGTATGTGCCTAAAACAGGATGAAGAAGTCAGTAGCGCTGGTAGGTAAAAGACAGGATAAGAGCTCCAGCACCACACATCTGGTCACAGTCACAACCCAGCCACGCCACGGTGAATTTATAACTTCAAATTCCTATAACTTTTGGATATCTTATGGCTGCTATAGTTTAATTCAGGTGAATTACCGCAGGTCACAGCCAATATTATCTAATAGCCTTTTTTTAATAAAACAAGAATGATTTAATAGTATAATTTTGTATCGTTTTTAGATCAGTTTTCGCTACTTCTACACTAGTCAATGTAGACCTATTACTGCTTAAGAAAAAAAACCAGTTACTGCAGCCAAAACTATGTAAAAAAAAGAAAGTTTTTTTCAAGTTGAAATTAATCAGATTGGGTGCCATTGCTCTATTTAGGTCCAAATTAAAAACTTAGAAAATTTTAAAATGAATTACTCATTAAAAAAATACATGTTATCAAAATACAGTGTCAATGTCACTGACACTGCCCATGATCTCTCAATCAAGAATTGTTTTTTTCATGTGGCCCTCAAGAACCCTCTTCTTGCTGCACTGTACTTTTTAATTTTTTTTTTTGCTTGTAAATATCCTTAATGGCAGTGCCCAGATTCCCATGCCCTTTTTTAACCACCTCCCACCCACCATATAAGGCAATGGCGGGTGCAAGGCAGTTCTCTCTTTCTGGAAGGACGTCATATGTCCCTCGGACACAGCGGATCACCGATCAACTGAAAGAGCCGAAGATTTTGGCTCGGTCATGTGATCAGTTGTGCCCAATCCCAGCTGATCTCATGTAAATAGGGAAATGCCGGTTATCAGCATTTCTCTCCTCACGAGCTGTCACGCTGACAGCTCGAGAGGAGAGCCGGTAATCAGCATTCCTTGGAGGGGACATCTACACTGATCATCAGGGCACTGATGATCAGTGTGCCTTGATGATCAGTGTAGCCCCAGCAGTGCCACCTGTCAGTGTCCATCAATGCCAACTGTCAGTGCTCATTAGTGCCACATCAATGCCACATATCCGTGCCTACCAGTGCACATCAATGCCACATATCAGTGCTCATCTGAGCTGCCTTTCAGTGTCACCTATCAGTGCCAGTCAGTGCCACCTATCAGTGCTGCCAATCAGTGCTACCTATCAGTGCCAGTCAGTGCCACCTATCAGTGTCAGTCAGTGCATGTCAGTGTCGCCTACCAGTGCCTGTCAGTGCTGCCTATCAGTGCCACCCAACAGTGCCAGTCATTTTTGCCTATCAATGCCAGTCAGTACTGCCTATCAGTGCCACCTATCAGAGCCATATATGAGTGCTGCTTTTCAGTGCCCATCAGTGATGCCTGTCAATGCCCATCAGTGCCACCTACCAGTGCCTCCTCATCAGTGCCCATCAGTGCCACCTATCAGTGCCACCTATTAGTGCCCATCACTGCAGCCTCATTAGCGCATATCAGTGAAGAAGAAAAATCACTTATTTACAAAATTTTAAAACAAAAACTAAGAAAAAATTATTTTTTTCAAAATTTTCAGTTTTTTGGTTTGTTTAGCAAAAAAATGAAAAATAAAAAGTGCACAGCTGATTAAAAACCACCAAAAGAAAGCTATATCTGTCTCAAAAAAAATAAAAATGTCATATGGGTACAGTGTTGCATGACCGCGCAGTTGTCATTCAAAGTGCGACAGCGCTGAAAGCTGAAAATTGGCCTGGGCAGGAAGGGGGTATAAGTGCCCAGTAGGCTTGTGGTTAAACAATAGTATGCCTATTAGAATTGAAAATGTCCTCAATGTAATATGAATATTAATTTCACATAGACTGTAGTGAGATTCACAACTCCATTTTTTTAGGATTTCAAGCGGGATTGGAAAAGACCCCATGAATGGAATTCAAACAAATTCACTCATCCCTAGATATGAATGAAGCCTCTTCAAAAGTGACTATATCTATTATGTTACTATGCTGCTTGGTGGCATAACATTAGTAAGACACCAAACTCAACTTTTGCTGGAGCACAAAGAAAATATCAGCAAATTCACACTTCTTTTAAGAGTATTCATGAATGAGTATAACTGTATCAAAGAGATTTCTTGACCCTTGGGAGAAAAAAACAGGAAACATAATCGCATCCGGGAAATGTGACAAAGTATCAGTGCAACCTAATCAAATGCAGTCATCATGTTCTCAGAATCACTCTATCTCCTCCTCTTCATTATTATATTTTATGTTCCCATTTTACAGCACTCATTTTCCTACACAGCAGATTTAGTTTTGTCAGATGACAGAACCCATCTAAGCATGACAGTTTGGGTCTGTGTTGTATTTTAAATAGCTCTGTCATGGAGATGTTCTGAATGTATAATGATGCTGCATCAAATCTTGTTTTTCCCTTCCAGTAATGCCTGGGCAGCTTCATTACATTTTCACAAAAAATAAAAACCTTGTTATTGCATTTTAAAACAAATAGACTAGAATACAACATACTAGTTATAATGTATATTTGAGACAAACCACAAGTGTCAAGAGAAAATAAATATACATTAGAAAATGTGTACAGCTTTATGGACTTTGACAAATGTTTTTGTTTTTATTTGGTACCCTGTTACACTCCCCTCAGTTGTTCACTGCTAATTCATACATATCAACATCATGAAAATCCTTCAAAAAAGAGTTAGTTTACTTTTACTGGCTTTTCCTGTTTGCATTACAATGCAGTGCCCCAATTTGTAAAATAATGCTTATTTTATTATCTCATCATTTCTTTGCCCTCCCCTCTTCATCCTGCAGATGGCAGAACAAACCAAGTGTTGGTTGTATGGCCCCAGAATGGCACAAACAAGCACTTGGATGAATTCTCTACCCATGTATGCTCAGTTCGCTTAGCATTCTGCAAAAGAGCAAGAGAACAGACTGAATATCCATGGGTAGGGAATTAATTTAAGTGATTTTGTGAGTTTCCAGGGGATGCAGGATCATTTTTTCTTTATGGTTAAACCACAGGTGATAGGGCATTTTTTTTCCTTTATGGTGCTACCATGGACACAGGAGTATTTTTCTTTCCAGCCACAGCACCTACACGGACATTTTTTTTTTTTTGGTGACACCACAGATGTAGGGAAATTTTACCTCACACTGATGCTTAGGCATTGCTTTCTTTGCCACTGATAACCACATGTTTTTCTGTGGGGAAAAATGTTCACAGCCATTAAACTCTTCAATTTACTGCAGTGTGCCACAACCAGTGGTACTACTTCAATGCATGCCACAGCTATTACACCACATGTTTCAGCTCAATACTGATCCCCCCACTAATATTTCTTCTCCACCTAGGGGAGGCACATTTTGGCACTGGATGACCTTGTCATGGAACTGCCCCTGGCGGGACTAAGTGCTTGAAGCACCTAGTCCCATTCTGATCGTTGCTGCTGTTGTGTAATAAATGAGAATACTTTTTCTGTCTATGCTGCCTGTAGGCTATCCACCCAAGACTGAAGCCCAATTTGTGGGCATTCCTATGGAGAAGCTATTGCCAGCGCTGAAGTCACTTCCTCAGTACGATTGTTCTGAATTACCTGATCACAGACACATTACTCTATGCCTGTGATAACAAGTACAGTACATAAAAGCACACACAAGAAGACAGGTTGTCTGCTCATCTTGCCTAATACAGCCTTATCTAATACTTTTCATTTTACACTCTCATATCCCAGCTCCGTGTCTTACTGGCCAGCTTCACACATTTCTTCCTGCATCCTCTCCTATCTTGGCTCTGTGTCTCCCAGTCCAGGTTTACACATTTCCCCCTTCATTCTCTCATGTTCTGGCTCGGTGTCTCCCAGCTCCCAAAATGTCTTGTAAACCAAGAACACACAATGAGTATTGCACTAACAGGCTCTTCTCCTTTGCTTTGGTGAATAGCAGCAGTGGTCTCCAGAAGTATCTGCTGCCAGATATGAGCACTGTCATTCACACCTAATTATATGTTCACCAACTTGATAGCAGTGTGATTGAACAGTAGTGGGGGGAGGCAAGCTCTTTGACCAAATTGCTGAGCAACCATAGCATGGAATAGCTCGGGAGCAAATGCTGCATGCAATTGGTCCCCTGGAAGAATCAAAAGTGATTTTTTTATGTTGCAGTGACACTTCTTCTTTAAAGCCTTGAACAGTTTTTTTTATCCTATTTAGGAGCATTGGAATATGTTCTATTTTTTTTGTCCAGGAATGTAGAAAGAGAATAGTAGAAAGCATATTAACACTTTATTTTTACATGTGTAGCACTACCCCCTTAGGGATTGCTGATTAATTTGGGCCCCCTATATTTCTGCTCAGCCAGTCACTTAGCATGTTCCACACAGCATTTATCCACAGACAGAAATCAGGCCTTGAACATTGGTTTTGTTATTTTATTGAGAGGATTGAACTTGGATAGGGTTTAGGGATGTATAGGATGCTCAAGGGAACTGAAATCTGAGGGCAACTTCCTGAACTATTCAGCAGCTCCAATTGTACTACCCCAGACCCCAGATGAACTCCTCCTTACCCAGCAATCTGCAAACTTGCTTCCTCAGCAGGGAATCTGGCTCCCATTCCCTTAAATAAGGTGCACAGTAACTATCAAAGGGCTTATCTGGTTTCCCACCTGAGTGCTCCTTCCCCTATCTACCCAAGGGGTGTAGGTATACTCACGCACATCCTCTCCTGTACAGCTTGGGCAATGTCTGCTGCTACCAGGCCTATCAGAGGGGCTGCTCCTTCCTTACCACACAGGTGGTCCTCTCTCAGGGTACCAGTGAGTCCCGAGGTTTCCTCCTTTCATTCTCTAGGCTCGCAGGGAGGTCCCCATCCCAGAAGGCCTCCTGGCAGCCTTCCTCCTCCAGCCGCACATCTTCCTCCTTCTTACTCCTCTTCCACCACTATACTCCAACTCCTGCTACTGAACAGACTCTAACACCTCTTAAGGGAGTCCAGTCCCTTTCCAAGCCTCGTGTTGGCTGAGATTCCTCGAAGGTGCAGCCTACTTTTCCTCAGATCCACCCACTGCCTCCAAGGCCCTTCTCCTAAAGCCTCACAGCAGGGGGAAATTCTAGAGGGGCTGGCCTGCAGAGTCTCTCAGCCCTGACATGACTTTGACCCCTCTGGATATTGTACCTGAGCTGCTATTCAGCTTATTTCTAGCCATAAGGGATCTAGCTCAGCCTAGTGTAACATGGAGGGTGCTACACATGCAACATACATTATAAATAGAAAAAAAAATTATTTGGCATTCACAAATACAGATGTATACTGTATATAATAAACCTGTTTGCGTTATACTGTAGTCGTTGCTTAGATTTGAATGGCATGCCCCCTTAACTTCTTAGGGAAATCAAACATCTATTATATCTAGAAAATATAAGAGAATACTTCTAATGGTGGACAGAGTAAAGAAATAATTGAGAATGTCCTCTAATATAATCTCATAGTCACTTAAAGCAAATTGTTATACACTTGTACCATAGTGAAGGAAAGTCTTGGAATGCTAATGAATCAAAATCCTCTTTACAGTTCCCTCTCAAACAATATCTGTTACCATGAATAAACCTAATTGTAGAAGATTGTAGATACTACGCATTGGCTAACTTTACTACCAATATTTAGGAAACACACTTTCCCAGTTGGCAGGAAAAGATTTAGATCAGAATGTTATGTAAGTTTCTGTAGTAACATATTACAGTATATTTAATCCTATTTTTTACATTATTTTTATTTTTTTGCAGGCATACACATGGTTCAAGCTCACATCATTGAGCTACATCACGAAAAGTGAAACATAGTAAACATGAATTTGCAGACGACATCACTGGGGTGTATCTTGGTACATAAATGGTATAAATCTGCACAATAAAATATTTGTTGTTTACAAATTTTGCTAAGATCACTTCCATATTTTCTAACGCTAACTAACTAACTCTTCCCATATTTGTTTACAAGGTTAATTAAACAACTGCCTTTGGGCCTGTGCTGACAGAATTAATTGACATTGACCTGCAGTTAACCTATTTCTTACCTGCATTTGAGCTGTTCAAGCAGGGCTTTTCAGTTCTATAGACTTACATGGGGATGCAAAATCCATTTGAATCAAACAAAAGATCATCAACACAGGTCCTTAGA